TTTGGGGAATGAACCAACGGAAGGAAGACCTTTCTCTCTGTCTCTCTCTTTCACTGTCTAACTCTATCTGTCAAATAAAAAAAAAAAAATTCTAGTTCTCTTCTACTCATGATACTTATGTTTTCCTTCAACCACATTTCTCATGAGTTCTTTATTCTAGAAATACCAGAGTCATTTGTGTGTCTCATCCCTTTTTGTCAAAATAATTCAAGTCTTCTCCCCTTCCTCCCACTAGTACATCAATTTTTCCTTTAGTTTGTAACATTCTGAATTCTACTGAGTCCATCAATAGTCTTGTGAAAGTCTGAATAAAAAACAAAGGTGAATTTAGATAAATTTTACAGTATGTAAATATACTCCGAAAAGCTATTTACAATAAATAAGTAAAACTAGCAGATTCTCTCCCAGGAGCCCTCCAAAGATGATTGAATTTTGCTGAAGCCAGCACAGACAAGGTCTAGAGAAATCCAACTTCATATCAATATCAAATAATTCTCATGGTTAAAGCTTTAAGGAACATGAATTCATAGCTAAAAACCAAAGGTATGTACAACAGCAAAGTGCACAGGAAACAGTTGTAAAAATATCAGGAAGCAAATTTTGACCTGCAAAGGACTTCATATATTTTAGTTAAATGCAAAAGCATAAAATAACATATTTTAAAGTTTTACAGAAATAAAAGATTGAGAAAATAATCAAAAAACAGGAGACTAAATTCTGTTGAATAAAATCAATAGAACTTCTATAAATGCATTAATAAGTGATGAAGACACAGATTAAACATAACCCAGGAAGGAATTCAGAAACATACAACTCTAATTTGTCAATTTATAATCAAAACCAAAAATTTGAAAAATAATCTTTTTTTTTTTTTTTTTTGACAGGGAGAGTGGACAGTGAGAGAGAGAGACAGAGAGAGAAAGGTCTTCCTTTGCCGCTGGTTCACCCTCCAATGGCCGCCGCTGCAGCCGGCGCACCGCACTGATCCTGGCAGGAGCCAGGAGCCAGGTGCTTTTCCTGGTCTCCCATGGGGTGCAGGGCCCAAGCACCTGGGCCATCCTCCACTGCACTCCCTGGCCATAGCAGAGAGCTGGCCTGGAAGAGGGGCAACCGGGACAGAATCCGGCGCCCCAACCGGGACTAGAACCCGGTGTGCCGGCGCCGCAAGGTGGAGGATTAGCCTATTGAGCCACGGCGCCGGCTCTGAAAAATAATCTTATAAAGAACTGTTTGAGGCCGGCGCCGCAGCTCACTAGGCTATTAGAACACACAAAGTTCTAGTCCCGGTCGGGGCGCCAGATTTTGTCCCGGTTGCCCCTCTTCCAGGCCAGCTCTCTGCTGTGGCCAGGGAGTGCAGTGGAGGATGGCCCATGTGCTTGGGCCCTGCACCCCATGGGAGACCAGGAGAAGTACCTGGCTCCTGCCATTGGATCAGCGCGGTGCGCCCGCCGCAGCACACCGGCCGCGGCAGCCATTGGAGGGTGAACCAACGGCAAAGGAAAACCTTTCTCTCTGTCTCTCTCTCTCTCACTGTCCACTCTGCCTGTCCAAAAAAAAAAAAAAAGTTTGAAAGACACAGACTAAGTACTAGATTGGTGTTGCCAAAAAGGGAATTTAGGAACTAGAAGATAGATCCAAATAAAGAGTCAAAGATGAATGCAGACACACAAGGAACTAAAATCTATGAGACATAAACTAAGCCAGAAAGGTACAGAGAATGTGGAAGAGGCACTATTTGAAAAGAACAAGATGTATTTTCCAGAATCATTAGATAAATGAATACAAACTTTCAACCATAAAATAAGAAACGCATTACCAAGTGAAGAAGTCAATTGCCCAAGTTACAATCAGAGCATTTTCTTCTATTTTTAAAGTTGAGTTGTGAAGGAGCCATAATCTACTACCTAGGCTTCCAAAACCGTTGATCTTGTGGGGGGAAAAAGAAACAGCCTGTTCAATTTGCATTTTCTTCATGCACTGAATTCATAGGATTCTTCCCACAACATTAACTTTGCTGTGTTAATTCAAAAGGAGCAGACTGAAATTTAAGATTAGGAGTAGTGTTGAGAGTTCTGGGACCCTTCAAAGTCTGGAACAGTGGCCAACAGCAATGATTGTATAATAAAGCTTGTTGACTGACAACCAGCATGATAAGGTCAGCCAACAACAGACAATAAGAGAGTTTATTGTAAGTGATGTCTAAAAGAAACCAATCTAAAAGTATCTTTCCAGATTTTGAAATAAAATTGGATTTAACAAACACTATCTTAATACAGATGTTCCCCAGCCCACCTCACAGGAAGGGGTCAGGTTATCCTAAGAATGATCCTAGCTCACATTTATGAAGCACTTACTAGTACCAGGCACTAATTTAAGCATGCATTGAAGAAAGGAAAATGGGAATTATCTTAAACCTTATTCAGCAAACTCTCTTTAGCCTACACAACTGAAAACAAGTAACTTATATTGTCAATAGATCAATGAATCCTACACCTGGTGTTTTTAGTGGTTACCATTGTAATAATAAAAACTTTCATAAAAATATTAGTTATATTTTACTCTAATATAGAAAAGTAAACCATGTCATAAAAATTTTTTCTTTTCATTTTTTTTTGAAATTGACAAAAAGTTTGGAGTTGTGGAAATCGGTTTTTCTAAACATTGTAACAACATATATAAAACAAAATGATATCTGTGGAGGAATGATAAGAAAAATGTCTTGGTTTAGCCTATTTGCTCTGCTTCTTGTAGACTAAAGCTATGGATCTACCAGAGATAGCATAGTCTTCGCCTCAGAGCAGTGACTTTCAAGATACACTATGTACCAGCGTCTCCAATAAGCTATGAAAAGTAGACCCCTGGGGCCGGCGCTGTGGCAAGTGGGTTAACGCCCTGGCCTGAAGCATGGGCATCCCATAGGGGCGCCGGTTCTAGCCCTGCTGCTCCTCTTCCGATCTAGCTCTCTGCTGAGGCCTGGGAAAGCAGTAGAAGATGGCCCAAGTCCTTGGACCCCTGCACCTGTCGCTCCCCCTCTTCGTGGAGGAACGACACAAGACCCTGCCTAGGCTTCCTATCCGAGTCACGACACCATTATGTCGCTCCCCCTCTTCGTGGAGGAACGACACAGGACCCTGCGCTGTTCTTTTGTCTGCTCGGCCCTCCCCGGGTTTGCTGCTGGTTCTTCCCGGGTTGGCTACCATCCCTTCCACCTCCGTGGAAGGGCGGTTCCCCCTGCCACTTTCCCCACTTCCGCGGGGGAGCGGCACACCGCCAGCCGGCTCTCTTGGGGGCTGCACAGGTGTTCCTTCAGATAGATGTTCCTGGTGCATGTTGTCTCTCTCCTCCTTTATAGTCCTCTTCCACCAATCCCAACTCTGCTACCCACACGCCGAGTACGCTGCTCTCCTCCAATCAGGAGCAGGTCCTGCTGTTTATTGGTTGAACTGGAGGCAGCTGTGTAGAAGCTGTTTCCTCCTCTCCCAGCGCCATATTGTGGGAGAGCAGATGCATAGAATAAGTCTTAATTCCAGTAACAGTCCGAGTTGCTCCCAGTTGCTCCCCACATGCACCCACATGGGAGACCCAAAAGAAGCTTCTGACTCCTGGCTTCAGATCAGCACAGCTTTGGCCATTGCGGCCATCTGGGGAGTGAACCATCCAACAGAAGATTTCTCTCTCTTTCTCTCTGCATCTCCTCTCTCTGTGTAACTCTGACTTTCAAATAAATAAATAAATCTTAAAAAAAAAAAAAAAGTAGGTTCCTGAGTCCAACTGGAAGGATTGTGACTCAGCAGGTTTGCATGAGGCTCAGAATTTTGGCCCTTGTTGTAGGCACCATAGGTAATGTGAGCAGGTAGTCCAGTCTCCTCACAAAACTCTGCCTTAGGAGAAATGGGGCCACAAGCCACTCCCTCTTACTATGAACTAAAGAATCTTCAAGCTTGTGCACAGAGGTGATCTAATATCCAATGGTCCACGAAGTGAATATAACCAGGATCCATAATCAGAGGGAAAAGCCATCAGGACAATCATTCTTAATGAAAATAAATTATTTTTCATACTTAATTATGGGCAGGCATTTAACATAGCAGTTAAGACCTGCCTTGGGACTCCCCCCATTCCATATATGAGTGCCTGGGTTCAAGTCCTGGCTCTGCTCCAGATTCAGGCTTCCTTTTAATGCACACCCTGGTGAGCAACTGATGATGACTCAAGTTGTTGGGTCTCTGCCACCCAAGAGGAGACCTGGACTAAGCTTCCAGTCTTTAGTTTGGGCCTGGCCATTGGCAGGCATTTTGGGAGTAAACCAAGAGATGGGAAATCTCTCTCTCTCTCTCTCTCTCTCTCTCTCCTCCTTCTCTCTCCTTCCCCCTTCCCTTTCAAATAAATAAAATAAATAAAAATTTAAACATATAATCAGTTTATTTATTTAAAGAATACTTAAGGAAATGTTAACTAATCCAATTTGGTCACATATTGAATACACAAAGAATTATCACACTGTACCCCATAAATACATATAATTAAAATTTTTAAAAATCCATCAACATTTATTTATTATATCATATATTTATTATATCATATTTTTATCATTTATTATTTAATCAGACATCATGCATTTTAAAAAATTCTATTCAGGGACTAGCACTGTGGGGTGGTAGGTTAAGCCACCCTCTACAATGCTGGCATCCCATATGGGCGCCGGTTCAAGTTCCAACTGTTCCACTTCCAATCCAGCTCACTGCTAATATGCCTGGGAAAGCACAGAAACTGGTTCAAGTGCTAGGGCCCCTGCCACTCACATGGGAGACTTGGAAGAATGGCAGCCACCTGGGGAGTAAACCAGTGCATGGAAGATCTTTCTCTCTCTCTCTCTCTCTCTCTCTCTCTCTCTCCCCTCTCAATGTAATTCTGACTTTCAAATAAATAAATCTTCTTAAAAACATTCTTTTCATAAATTTGTCTGCCCTTCCCTCTTCCAAAAAGAGATTGGTCTCACCTTTTTATAGTTGCCATGCCTATGGTCCATTTCCCTGGGCTTTCAACTTCAGATTCAGTTTCAAGCATAAGAAAGAGTAGTTTGTGTAAAATGGATTTTTATAACACTTTTTATTTAACCTGAAAAGTGGACGATCGATATGTTGACCTGATTGTACAGCAGCCAACTGGACACTAAACCCTCTTTTAAGGAAAGCACCACTCTGAGTGGCTAAACCCTGAGAGGTGGGGAGGATATGTAAACATTTCTGGCAAAATGCGATTCACTTTGCTTTAACTTTGAAGCAGCCCTTTGAAGTACCATTTAGCAACTATTTCCTTAATATAAAGAGTATTATAAGTGACGGATCTAATGACTGCTAAGACATAAGTTCATTTCCATTTAAAGTGTGAACCACGCGCATTTGCTCAACCACAAAGAGTTAATCAGGAGGGAAGAACCACGAATTATAATTAGTTCAGCATCAACTTATCTACATGGAGCTCCTCTGCTCACTGAACTTCCTACTGCACAATATTCACTCCAAAGAGCTAACTCCATATCCCTTTGTTTCCTCTCTGGAACTTTTTTTTTTGTTTCCTCTGCAAAAAAGTCAACAATTCAGCACAAAGGCATCAGGAGTCACGCTGACACGTTGTGACAGAATCACACATCTACACGGGATTCGTCCCATTCCGAAAACGCCTGACCAGCAAACGCCAGAGGCCACGCATCCAGCGTCACAGCCGGCGCGGCCTGAGAGAGACTTGCCCCTCAGAGTCCGCAACCTGCGGGCAAAGTTTCCTACTGCGGCCTGGGACAGAGGTGACAGAAAATGACAATGAGAACAACCCTCGCTTTGCTCTTCCTTGGCCTCTTTGGGCTCCTGGAGGCAACAACCATCGCATGCAGAAATGAAGAAGGTGACGCTGTGGACTGGTAGGTAAGGAGAGGTAGGGCTGGGCGCGCCGACAGCAAGCCAGCACATAGGAGGCACACCGCGCTAATCCTAAGGAGAATTTCCACCCTGTTTCCTCTCTTCACAAAGAAGGGAAGTTCGTGTGCAAATGGGCCAATTTTGCAGGCAAGGGTAGGCTGCTGAATGAATGAGCTTGCCCCCCGAGAAAGAACTGGGTAGCCCCTCTCCGGCCTGACTCACTGCTCTGAGCAGGGCAAGGCTGGTAGCTACGGAAGTGGCACTGAGCTGCCAACTTCTGTCAGTTGGCAGTTCCCTTCATTTCCGCTGTGGCTTTTCCTGACAGAACTCTGCCAACATCCTTTCAGAGACTCACCAAGGAGAAAAAGCACGTGACATTTTCTAAAACTGGAGCACGCACGTCTCCTTGTGGGACTGAGCAGGAAGCCGTGGCCATACGCGGCCCTGTTTGATTACCTTTGGTTTGGTTGGCAGCACAGGCAGGTGCTGGAGCGAGTGGGAGGTCACCGGCCTCTTGTGCAATATTCGAGACTCTAAACCCAGGGTCGCATTATAGTCACGGGTTTTCTAAACTTTGCTCAATTTTTCACTCTTGCCTTTGGTGTTTGGGTTTGCCGTTATGTTTGGCATTTGGCTTTGTACAACCTTACTTCATCTTTTCGCAACTTAACGCCAGGCTCTGTGCTGAGCTTCGAAAATGCATGAATGGGAATAAAACATTGTTCCTGCCCTGAAGTAGCTCAGTTATGTGGTGAGGAAGAGGGGGAGTAGTGAGGGGTATAGAACCCAGAAGGCTTCTCTAAGGAAATAGTTTTTGAGCCATGTTTTAAGAGCAGTCAAGAAGTAGCTAGAAAACGAATGGAGACCCAAGAGTATCTCAAGGCAGTGGAAGAGAAATGAGAAAGTATACAGAGGCCAGGAGCAACATGGCAAGTTTGGAGTTGCAAGCAGTTTGGTAATGCTGGCGCTCTGGGAGAACTTGGGGAAGTGGCAGTGGGTGAAGCCAGAGAGGTTGGTGAGGGCTAAGTCAGGAAGGGCTTCCTGTGCTAAGTGCAGGGTTTGGATATGACATGGAAAGAGCTCCTGAAGGAACATGATATGGTGAGATTCGCATCTTTGGAAGCCCACTGGCTTAGAGACCAATGGAACTTTTGCAGCATTGCAGGTGGGGAGAGGTGTGAACCAAAGTGAAAGAAGCGATTGTGGACACAGAGAGGAGAGGGCACAAAGAAGGCTTGGTGATGGGTGAGTTGCTGAGAGTGGGAGGAAGGGAAAGGGAATGCTGACTTTTAAGTTTCTGCTTCTGGGAGGGACTGCATGAATCTAGGTTCTCTAATAGCGTGGGATGGGCAGATTTAGAGCAAAATATGAAACTTGTTTCAAAATATGGAGTTAGAGGTTTCTGAGACACCTTTGTGTTTAGGTTTATCTGAACCTCTAAGAGAAGCCCGAGCTAGAAAAGGATTCAGGAATTTCCAGTGTATTATTGGAGACAGTCACTCAGGGAAAACGTTTAAAAATGCACACTGACAGTCCAACAGCCCCTTCAGAGTTGGACCACCAAATTGTGATAGACATGTCAAATTTATTTTTGTCACATGGCAACAGACATGTTACTCAGCAATATCTGTAGGAGAGAATATAAGCAACTTGTGGCCCAGCTGCTACAAGTTACTGAGAAAGTTAAACAGCGGAGGCCGTCGCGTTAACCCCGGAGAATTTCATGTTTCCTGCCACACGTGAGGACCTAGCCCTGTGAAGAAGAAAGAAAAGCAGGGCAGGAGAGAGTCGACTGAAACAGGAATGTGTCCCTGAGAAGACCCTCGTGGAGCGTGTGACGCTCTTAGGGGTATCTATTACGTGGTAATAGTGCATGTGTGATGTTATGGGGTTGACTGAGCATTCACAGGTTAATGGTGAAGCATGCAATTAGTAAGTATTGGCTAAGACAATGGTTCCTAACTGAGAAGACTTTTGACACTGTCTGGGAACGTTTTTCATCATCAAACACTCAGGGAAACTACTGGCATCTAATCGGTGGAGGCCAGGAGTCCTACAATGCACAGGGCAGCTTCCACAAAGAAAGAACAAGCTAGCTCAAAGTGTGAAAAGAGCACACTGAGAACCTCTGGGTGATGGGATCCAAGAATGACAGTGCTATACAGGCCTACCCGCCTGTGCTCCAAGTGCCGTCCAAAGTAGCTATACATACTGGAAACACTAGTGACGGAAAGAAAAGGCCTAGTTGGCTGTTCCTGGCCCTGAATCATCACTACTTTGCATTCTAATAAACTGAGCTGAAGAACATGACTTAAGCCCAAGATTCAGGATGCGCCCATGTACTCTGAAGCCCAAACCTAAATCCCAATTCAGCCAACCAGTTGCAAAGAGCACTTTCAGACAAAGAGCATCTAAACTTTCTCTAGTTTAGGGCTGGACCATGGCCTCTCCCCACTGCAGCCTCCTGGACTGTGCAAGCAGCAAAGAAAGCCATTGTCTATGTATAGATACTTGGAGAAAGAGAAAGACAGATTGAGCAAACCCTTTCCCTTAGAGGTCTTCTGTGAAACATGAAGTAGAGGTGCCTTTAAGAGTTTGACATGACAGCCACCAGGAAAGCAGTCAACAGATGTTAGTGATTAGCAATCATTTTCTTTTTTAGGTTTACCTTTTATAAGTTACCTAAAAGGCAAGACAAGGAAGATGGAGAGACGGGGTTAGAATACCTGTACCTAGACTCTACCATTAGAAGCTGGAGGAGAAGTAAGCAACTAATGAACAGCACCAAGAGTGTTCTGGGAAGAACACTGCAGCAGCTATATGAAGCAGATGCCTCTGAGGTATGGGGTACTTCATCATTCATTTGAATCATAAAATACTTAAAACAGAATTCAAGGCTTCCAGAACAGCTATGGAAACTTATTTTATCTGCACATCTTCCAGTCCCAGTAACTGGAAGTAAGCCAGCTCAGACTTAGCCTAGGACAACTGTCTGAATCAGTCTGACTGATAGCTTGGGAAACAGTCATCATACTCTACAGTGATGCCAAATTATTGGTCCACTTGGCATCACATCCAGTGATATCACTAGGTAAAGTGTGAACTAATTGTATATTCAAGTCTTCTGGCTGTCAACCCTTCTGCCAATCCACTCAGTGCTTGCTAACCTATCCACCTAAAAGTCATATTGGGGGTGAGCCCTCTCCTGCTGCCAGGCAGCATAGATCTATGACCAGTAGACCCTGAGTTATGGGTTGTCTGTGCCACGGTGTTGATGAGTGGTGATGATACAAGGATAAGGTATTCCTTTTAATTAATTATTTTCAAAATGATAGGTTGACAACTAGACCTCTACTTCAGGGTTCGCGAACTAACTTGCCTGAATGGAGATTAATCCTGCTATCTGGACTTCATCAGGCAGTGAGCTAACCAGCCAAAGAGAGCTAGTTATGTAGGCCTGCTGGCAGCTTCCCAATATTCCGGAGCCATCTGTTGTTCAGTGACAAGATACTGCTTTCCAAACAAGGGTGACTAGGAAAATCAACCAGTAACCAGCTTCCAATTACACTTTTGTATTCATGTCCTAACAATAACTTACAGAGAAGCAAATCTATAAAATGATTCCATTCCTACAATATGATGGGCTCTGTGCTTGACCTTTGCACATGTCGAGCAATTTAATGCCCACAATACTGTTTTGGCCTCTAGCAATACTGGACATGTGAGTCTGAGTATTTATGCAAAATGTGTAGGGAGCTGTCACTGTGTGTAGTAGTAGTCATTTTATTCACCAGTCATTAAGACCAGACTTCAGAGACAAGCTACAAAATTAAAACTGGGTTGTAGCCTTATGAGTGCATGTAATGTGCCAAGCACTGTTCTGGGTGCTTTTAAAAATTATTTCATCTTGGGTCCACCATTGTGGTGTAGCAGGTAAACCCTCCACTTGCGATGCCAGCATCTCATATGGGTGCCAATTGACTCTTGGCTGCACCACTTTCAATCCAACTCCCTGTTAATGCACCTAGGAAAACAGCAGAGGATGACCCAAGTACTTGGGCCCCTGCACCCACATAGGAAACACAGATAAAGCTCCTGGCTCCTGGCTTTGGCATGGCCCAAACCTGCATATTGAGGCCATTTAGGGAGTAAATCAGCAGATGGAAAATCTCTCTCTCTCTTTCTCTGAGTTTCAAATAAATAATCTTTAAAAAATATTTAGTCCCAACTATATGCAACCCTGTTTCAAATAAACATACTAGTACGTAAAATAAAAAATTGCCTATAGCTTCTTCTGCCTTCTAAGGCTACAGTGGGGATCAGGAGCATAGCCCATGGATAAGAAGATAAATGCTGTGTTGTTGTCTTCTCCATCACAGGGACTGAGAGGAAGGGAAGAGGAATGGTGACATTGGAAAGCCTCTGCCCTTTACCTTGGCTGGAGTAGACAGTTCTTAGTGTGACAGAATACAATAATGATCTGTGTAGGTACTGAGTCCGCTCCAGAGCCTAGGAAGGAGAAAGAATTAAACTACTCTGCAAAATACAAAAATGTGGAAGGAAAAAAAAAAAAAACTGCAAGAAAACAGAGGGAAATTGGAAGGGGACATCATGGTGAAGGAGTTAAGGCTGCGCCATGACAAAATACGCCAAATTGGCATACTGATTATTTCATAGTAAAATTCTTCCAGGAACTATACTTCAGAAATGGTCACTTGGCCTATCATTATTTCCTAAATGCAACAAGCTGTAAAGATTCTTTGGGAAGGAATGTCCTTCATATAGCAAGACCAGAAAATAGCCTTGATCCCCAGAGCTCAGTAACCAGGCCTACAATGAGCCTTCTCTTCCACTATCTTCAATACTCCCTCCCCAGTATATGCTTAGTAAGGTCCTTAAAATGTTCTGCCCCAGACCAGAGAGCCACTTTTTTCTGTCATTCCTTCACAAATTGACAGCTTGTTGTCTAAAAAGTATAAAGGCATCAGGCTTTGGTTATTTCTTCAGACTTCACTCTTTGAGGAAGATCTCCATGTATATGTAAATTTAATAAAATGTGCTTTTCTCAATCAACTCTTGAATTAGCTGAGTTCCTAATCAAGCCAAAGAGCCCACATTAGAGCTTGGGGGTTGGGGGAGGAGGGTGGCAGGTAGTGGGGATCTCTCCTGACCCTATAGTGGTGACCTAAAACCATTAAATGTTTCTTACGTTCAGTGAAGTCCACTCACACACAATGCCCTGACTGGTTGGTTGTGGGAAGAAAATGACAGGAAAGGGGCTATTTCCATGTCTTACTGGGGAGGAGACAAAGAAGCGAGCAACAACAGTGAGCGATATCCAGGTGAGACAGAGTTATTTGGAAGCTAAACTGTGCACCAGAAATGGCAGCACTGCCCTAACTCCCCCATCCCCTGGCCTGCAATCAAACACCTAACAGGGTAGAATGTAAGATCAGACCAACTAGTTTTAAATCTAAATGTCAAGGTGACCAAGTTCAATAGCTTGGTGTCATTTGGAATTATTTCCTTTCTTTTGCCTTTGCAAATAAGAGCCTTCTATACGCCCTCATAATAACAATTCTCAAACTATGTGTACTATAAACCACACCCACGTGAGTATAGTCACCGTTAGACTGAGGGGCACAGACTGTACCCTTCTTGTTCAACACCCAACAGTCAAAACAATGCTCACTGTATGTGTTAAAGCAATAGCAAGGTCCAAGGCACACACCTGCATCTCCCTATTCTTTAAAAAAATATATTTTATTTGCTTACTTGAGAGGTAGAGCTACAGAGAGAGGGAGAGACAGATAAAGGTCTTCCACCCAGCCTTCTCTGGGTTTTCCATGTGGGTGCAGGGCCCAAGCACTTTGAGCCATCCTCCACTGCCTTCCCAGGCCATAGGCAGAGAGCTGGATCAGAAGAGGAGCAACCAGGACACCAACGGGCGCCCACATGGGATGTCGGTGTGCAGGCAGAAGCTTAACCTGGTATGCCACAGCACCGACCCCACTCCCTGTTCGTATATGTTTAGCATTCTTTTAGTGTATTTGACAGGCAGAGTGGACAGTGAGAGAGAGAGAGACAGAGAGAAAGGTCTTCCTTTGCTGTTGGTTCACCCTCCAATGGCCGCCGCTGCAGCCGGCGCACCACGCTGATCCGATGGCAGGAGCCAGGATCCAGGTGCTTTTTCCTGGTCTCCCATGGGGTGCAGGGCCCAAGCACCTGGGCCATCCTCCACTGCACTCCCTGGCCATAGCAGAGAGCTGGCCTGGAAGAGGGGCAACCGGGACAGAATCCGGTGTGCCGGCGCCGCAAGGTGGAGGATTAGCCTATTGAGCCACGGCGCCGGCTCCACTCCCTGTTCTTAAGATGCATGATCTTTTTCCTTTACCAATAAACTCTCTTCCTACCAGGCCTACAGCACATTCAGCTTTAGTTGGCTGTTATAGTCCTGGTTGGAATAATAAGTACTGTCTATTAGAAACATAAACTTCCTCACCAGATCTTCTCAGAGCCCCTCCACATTGCACCCTGAAGGCACACAAATGGTCTCATTACTACGTACAGCTCTGGTAGCTCATAGATAACTGTGCGAGTTCTCTAGAGAAGGATGACACACATGCCATTGTGTAGCTATAGTCAATTAAGGGAAATGAAGGTGAGAAAGCAGTTTTTCCTAAATGGTAGCCAGAGTGCTACACAGACTCCATTGTACATTTTAAAATTATGTCAAAGAAGTGACTGCAAATGACTCAATTATTAGTTTTTTTCTGAGAGATAAGAAAAGGGCTGTTTTTTCTTTAAGGAAAGGGCTGTCCTTTCCTGTTTTTATTATGTCACTGAGTTTTTTTTGTTTTAATATCAACATTACTGGCTTCAAGAAAAGTCACTGCATCATGACACAAATGAAATGGAACCACCGAGAACAAATGTAAGTAAATTTCCAAAGTATGACCAACAGACACTATCAAAATAGTAGCTTTATTTTGACTCAAAGATTTGGCTAACTCTTTGCAGAATGGACTTGTATTTTACTTTACCAGAGGAGATTCACTATCACACGTTAAATTTCACCACCTTTTCCAAGCAGGAATATCAAGTTAGAAAAATGAAATGACACTGAGAAACTGATCACAGAAAAATTATCCAATATCCGGAGGCAAGGGAGAGCAGCTAATGAGAAACCCTGATTAAATACAAAGCTATGACCAAGCAGTGAAGCACCAAGTGGGCAGAGGAAATCAGCTCCTGACAGCCTGTAATATCAATGGAGAAAAAAACAGGTGTAATCCCTGCTTGATTGTTTCGACCTCGTTTCCTGGACAAATAATTCAGTACTGTTTTATCATACACTGGCTTCTTTATCAGAAACATGGCTCCAAAATAATCAAGAAAAAAAGGAAGACTACCTTCACCACAGATCCACAATTCATGGGGGCCCTGTCACATGAGCTGAAGCCATGCATGGTTGGGAATGGACTTCCTTTCCTCCTGTTACGCATGGGACAGAGTTCATATCAATGGGGAAACTGCCCACCAGGAGAACGGATGACTTCTCATGTGTATTAATGAAAGCTCTGTATTGCAAGCTGAGCAGCTGGTAGAAATGTTGTGAGCATTTGAGAGTGGAAGACTTATGCCATTGTAACCCTAATATATTCCTGCAGAGTAACCGTACAGCCTATCTAATATACAATGATGCAGTCCCTAAATCTGTGAATTACAGCAGAAAGTACGGACACACCAAAGGTATGACAGAGGCTCTTAGTTTCTCTTTCCTATTGAAAACCAACATTTTCTTAAACATTTCATCTTGAATAGTCTCATACCAGAAAGATAGCTTTTATTCTTAATGCTTTGTTTAAAAATATGATTTCTATATCACAGAATATAACTATACAGTTTGACATGGAAATCCCTTTCTCAGGAACCCCATTTTATTTCTCTCTCTATACACACACACACACACACACACACACACGTATATGTTTTAGGGCACAAATCAAATTACTGACTATTGAGAATACTCAAACATACATACACATACACATACCGCAAGTTTATTTGTATGTATATGTATGTGTATATGTGTAGTGTGTGTAGTCAGACTGATTTACTATTTTTTAAGATTTATTTATTTATTTGAAAGGCAGATTTACAGAGAGTCAGAGGCAGAGAGAGAGAGAGAGATCCTCCATCTTTTGGTTCACTCCCCAAACAGCCGCAACAGCCAGAGCTGGGCCAATCCAAAGCCAGGAACCAGGAGCCAGGAGCCTCTTTTGGGTTTCCCATGCAGGTGCAGGGGCCCAAACACTTGAGCTATCTTCCACTGCTTTCCCAGGTCTTGAAGAGAGCTGGATCGGAGTGGAGCAGCTGAAACTCTAACTGGCGCCACTATGGAATGCCGGCACTGCAGGCAGCGTCTTTACCCACTACGCCACAACATCGGCCCCAGAATGATTGGCTATTTACATTGAGTAAAAGTCACACTTCTTAATGTAATCATTTTTTTAAAAAAAGCACTTTTAAATTGTTTTATAGAATAGCAATTTTGCTATTGTAGATTATGTTATATATTATTATTATATAGTAATTTTTATTATATTAACTTATCATTATGCATTTATACATAATGCAGTATATATATGCATTAGAGAAAATTCCAAAATGTAAGTAAACAAAAAAATCTGTAATACTAATAACCCATTAGATAACTATACTTGATCTTTTCTACTTTTTCTAAAAATGTTTCTTAAAACATTTTATGAAACAAGTGTAATGGCTATTTTTGAACATTTTTTCAACTTCACACTCATGAATAACTTTCTGTGGCAATATATTTTCCCCATAAGGTCCTAAACACAAATGCCTTTGGGGACAGGCCGGTAATGTCAGCAGGTGAAGTGGATGGAAGTAGCAGGTGACTACAGGATACACACTCACTTGAAAGGGGGCAGTTATTTCTCACTTGCCTTATAGGGATGCAATTTCTCAGGAAATGTTAAAAACTAGTATTTATGGAAAACTGTTCCAGTTTTTACATGTTGGCAAGAAGCTTAAAGGTTTAAAAACACTCTGCAAGTCTAGCAAAATGTACTGGTTATGGCCCATGGGCTGCCAGTTTGCAATCTCTGATTTAGAATACGATCTGCAATGGCTGTCGAAAGTCATGAGCCTTTAAAACTTTGGATGGCCCTACTTAGGTGGAAACCAGCAATTCTGATAACATGCCACATTCTCCAATCTTTCGTCTAGCAACCTCCAACCATTACTCCTATTCCCCTTTATTAGCTGCTACAAGGGTTTGGAAAAATGCTAGAAAGAGAATGAGGCCTAATGACAAGTCAGGGAGAGGGGCAGGTTGGTTCTGTTGCCAACAGATGCTGGATCATGCTGCGACATTCAATCCAGAAGGTTAGGATTTCAGCAAAGTGTGACTGTCAGCTGAGCGGAGGAGAGCACCTGAAGGTCATCCAGCTGATAAGCAACACAACTTTCAACATTTTCCCCTTCACCATAGGCCTTGAACCTAAAGAGCAACTCTGAGAAGTTGCTGTTTGAAAAAGAAATAGCTAGTACGCATTTGGTTTCCAGTCTAATGTTAAGGTAAACATGAATGGGTTGACTTACATTCACTAATTTGCATGGTTAAATGCAAACTGGAAAGTCCAGTTACCATACCAAATCTATCCCTCGAGATCTGCAAACACGGAAATAGTTGTAGGTGCCTGCTGGACAGGCATTTTTTCCCATGTCACAAAATGATGAAAATCTTTTTTATTTTTCTCCTTTCTGGCTTTCATGTTGTTTTGCTCTGGAGGTTTTTGCAAAACGTAATTGAGTAGGAAACTTCAGCAAGGCTTCCTTTTTTCCCCTCGTTGCCTCTTTTATCAGGCTTGTAGAACTGAGTGACTCTTCTGGCAATAAATGAACACCAGTTTCTTAAAACAAAATACTGCAAGCACATTTCTTCATTTCATATTTTCTTTTTTAGCTCTGTTTTAAGCCAGTTTTTGAAACTGGCTTAGCTGCTTAGCAGTAGACACTATCTGAAGCTTGCCAGGTGACTGGATAGCTTTACAAGGTCAAATTCCAATTTAGCAAATTTGCATTCTGCCAAAACAAATTTTCCTTGTAGTTTCAACATGAAATTCCTCTTAACTCTTCACAGGGTGGCTGCCCTGGCTCCCATTTTGTGGTGACTTATTATCAGTAATGGAGAAACACGCTATGTGCCTGAATTGTTTTTGAAATCTTTAAAATGTGAGCATGGTCCTCGTGATTATTAGCTTAATCAAACATTAGCCCAAAGCATAAACAGACTTGCCTGTTGCAGCTTTGAACCCTGTTTTAAAAGGAGTGTTGTCTTTCTGATGTGTCTGCATGGAATATATCTTTGGTAGGCTTACTGCTGTGGAACGGAGCCCAGGGATTCTGGCTGATTCATTCTATTCCTCGGTTTCCTCCGATTCCAGAAGAAGGCTATGCTTATCCGACCACAGGGAGACGCAATGGACAAAGCGGCATCTGCATAACTTTCAAGCACCGCCAGTATGAAGCCATAGGTAACACTAGGGGATGTGAAAAAAGAGAAAGCAAGCTCGAAGAAGGGCTCTGAATTGTAAAACAAAGATGTCCCCTCATTTGTTAATCTATTCATAGACGCTCTAATAGCTACGAAGGGCTTTGCCATGGTGAGACACTGGGCAGGCTCATTTATTGGGCTTCAGGTCCTGGGGTACCCATGAAGTCACTGAAGTGGATCAGGGGCAATAGTTGCAAATGTATTCCTGGGCCAGCAATCTAGACAGATGTTGCATGCAAAGTGGGGAAGAGTGAAAAACTAGGCTGTTGACCCCTCCTTAGCTCTATATAAAGGCCTCCACTTCATGGTATTGTGGTGCTACAGGAATACAAGCCTAATAATTAGAAATCTTGGTTTTTTCACAAGAAAGTAGAAGGAGTGGAGGGGGGAGAGGGAGAGAGAGGAAGGAAGAGAGAGAGAAAGAAAAAAAAAGAGAGAAATACAGATTTTTAAATATGCACTCAATCTTGTTTTTCATTTTTTAAATTTTGCAGACCACATGTTGTATACACTGGCAATATAACACTTTCTTGTTAGATGATCTTCAAGTTTAAAAGAAAAAAACCAAAATACTTAGACTTAGCAAACTATGGTGGAGAAGGAGGGAAAGTGGGAACACTGTTTAGTCAATCACCTTTTACTGAGGCATTTGCTACAGTCATTGAAGAGTGACTTGTCTAGAGGTTTAGAGAATGTTTCTCATCAAATTTCCACCTTTTGGGAAGGACATTGAGCCTCTTACCTAAGTCAAGCTCTAATCTAACCAGTTGAATTCATCAAATAATTGGAGAGCAGAACAGCATAGAGTAGATAGGTGTACAAGCTGATAGTGATGATTCTTTCTTCTTCTTTTTTTTTTTTTTTTTTTTTTGACAGGCAGAGTAGACAGTGAGAGAGAGAGACAGAGAGAAAGGTCTTCCTTTTGCCGTCGGGTCACCCTCCAATGGCCGGCGCACTGTGGCCGGCGCACCACGCTGATCCGTTGGCAGGAGCCAAGTACTTCTGGTCTCCCATGGGGTGCAGGGCCCAAGCACTTGGGCCATCCTCCACTGCATTCCTGGGACACAGCAGAGAGCTGGCCTGGAAGAGGGACAACTGGGACAGAATCCGGCGCCCCGACCGGGACTAGAACCCGGTATGCCGGCGCCACAAGGCGGAGGATTAGCCTAGTGAGCCGCGGCACCGGCCTGTGATGATTCTTGATCCTAGATGATCAGTACAAGGAGTGTTGTACTTTTCTATATGCAAATATTGGAGAAAAAAATATGACTTCCAAGGCCAGATTACCTGGTTTTGGTTATCAACTACATCAGTTACAAGTTTTATAACATTGCATGTTATCACATAAAGTCTCATTTAATTCATCTATAAAATAAGGACAATGATAATAGAATTTACCTAATCAAATGTTTTAGGAAGATTAAATGAGTAAATTCAAGTAAAACTCACGGAACAAAGTCTAGAAAGTAGGAGGTACTCCTTGGGTGCCGGTTATTTTAACCAAAAGTAACTTAAAAGCTACCTTTTTAAAGACAGTGTTGCCAACCAACAAATCAACCTAGTTGGAAGTACTGCTATAGAACCCCAAAAGCTGGGTTCACCCACCCAACAGGCACTAAGTCAATCACTGACATCATTGCCATATAGTGGGTGTTTATTTCTAAGTGCAGAACACGATCTGGGCAGCTTTTGCTTAATTCCCAGGCTCCCCCGGGAAGGTTAGGATTAGAAGTGAAGCTTCCTATAGATTGTAAATGGGGCTGAGAGGAGCATGTTCAGCTCATGTCCAAGTTCCTGGTTGATCACTGGTGCTCATCACTTTCCTTTGATTGGTCAGGGATGCTGTGCTCTGTAGGGAATTTTACGGTGGCCAGGTGGGCTTCAGTGGTCTGCAGGTTACATAAGTGGTTCCAGACCTGGAACTTCCCTTCCTGCACCTGGAATTCCCCTAAACAAACGCCTCTGGACAAGACTGGCTAACAAAGCCTTGCTGGAGAGGGAAATGGTTTCTTGAGTCTGGCGATTAGAACCTTGTAGGGCCAGCTGTACAACTCTCTCAATCCAGAGAATTCCTCTTGATAAAGGCAGGCAAGGACACCTTGCACTAAGGGAGACAGATGAAAGGCTTGGTCCTGCCTTTACATTATAGGGGTTGGGTACGGTCTCAAATGTGTTTGAGTTTTTTCTTTCGTTTTGTTTTTTAAACCACAACATGACATATAATATCAACAGGCATTTCCATTTGTGTCTAAATTCTCAAAATTTCTTTATCTGTCTCGATTCAGCTTCTCAGCTCCTGGTGTGCAATCCAAACATCTATAGCTGTTCCATCCCAGCCACCCTTCTCCAGGAGCTCAGCCACATGGCCCGGCTCTGCACTACGGCCAGCTCCCGGGAGAGTCCCGTCCGCCGTGTCGCCACACTGCGGTCGGCCCAGGGACACAGTTTCCTCCATTTTGCAAAGTCTGATTCTTTCCTGGACGGTATGAAAGACCATCCCCAGACAATGTGCTATATAACCCTGCTGTTGGACTCACTATGGATTGTTTAAAGCAAATGTTCTAATTGTTTGGGGGAAGATCAATAGCAAAGAAAAGAGCAAATAGGAATGAAAGGGAAGAGGGCAGTCAAGGATCCATTCAAACATTTGCCTTCTCCATCTGAATAGCAGCATTGCTGATTCAGCCAGAGAAGTATCTCACAACCACAGAGCCGTAAGTCAGTGACAACTCACAGGCTGAGCCCCTGCTGGGCCTGCGGCCCCTGCCACATCTCTCCTTCCATTCTCTTTTGCAGGTCATCCTCTTGTGACTACTCTTTAGGTGATGGGGTTGCCATATCATCCTCTATCTTTTCTGATCTCACTCTGCATACCCAAGCTGGCCAATTCCAATGAGGTGTCAGGTGATCCCTGATTCTGGATCCACTGTAGACCTCTGCACTGACTGATGAATTCCACAGCAAGTGGAATACTGCTGTGCAGAGGTGGTACAACCACATCAGAGCCAGCAGGCTAAGCTCATCTCATCACCATCCTCCACAATTCTATTTCTTTTCTAGTACTCTCTACACTTGCCCACACATTCTAGACCCCTTATTTTTCAGTAAACTTCAGATCTTTAATGACTCTGACATTTACCTTATCACCAGATTCTTTGCGACAGCTAAGACCACTCCTGTTTTTTTTTTTTTTAACTTTTATTTAATGAATATAAATTTCCAAAG